ATAGTAAGAAGACAAGGATTTTCCAAAGTATTCAAATTTTAAATCGATATTCTAAAAATGCATAAATATCATTCTATTCCACCCTCCACTCGAAACGACACGACTCAATCGGAGCTGAGTTCTAAGCGTTGAGCCACAGCTCAAACTCAAGTGCCGGGTTATGCCGTCTGATGAGCGTTCGACTGTGAGCCGGTATGGAGCGGCGTGTCGCGGCGTGAACTCGGGTCAAGCGGCAAGCTGAGGCTGAGCTCGCGCTCACCCGAGTTGCGGCTCAATCCCCGGTTGAATTTCTACCCGGGCGAGTATCGAACGATATTATTATTATTTTTAACGGAATTCGTCGCAAGAAACTTGCGACTGGCCATCGCCCGAGGGCCTTCAACCGGATATTTACAAGTTACATATGTGCAATGTGTAGAACGCAGAAAATAAGCGAAAAGATAACAATAAGTAATTCAGTATTCAATTGGTTGTTAGCATTATATGCTTAAGATGGAAAACTCAAATGTTGGCATTATCTTATGGATGAGATGAGCGTGAAACAGTTTAGAAAATGTGGTGATGGTGAAGAAAATAGAGAGCTAATTGAGAGAGCTATTGTAACTATTGCTATGGAGTAGTGTTATTGAGAGAGAATTGTGCCTCCCCAAGCGTCGTTACCGTATTCTGCTATGCGAATGGCTTTCAGGCTTTCTAGTAGGGTTTGTTGCGGATATTTGTATCGGGTTTGGGTATTAGGAATGCGTTTGTGGCAGAGGTCTAGAATATGGTCCAGCTTATCGAGGGCGAAAGTTGTCAGTTTCTTGAATCTGTCTGCGATGGGTTCTATTTGGGTGCGTTCGTATAGTAGAGTGTTTGAGGGGTTGTATAGTGGGTTGTCAGGGTGTCGCAGTTTTGTCATTTTCCGTAGAGTCGTCCTCTCGAATTGAATCATTTTTTTTCTTAAATAAAGGTATTGCCAAGCCCTATCCATCACCATTAATTAAAATTCAATTCATTGATTCATTTTTTAAATTTTTGAATTTTTTAAAAATTCAGTTGTAACACGATAACTAAAAAAAGGTTCTAAATTCATTGAATGACGGCTTAAAAAATTAGTTGGGATGTCCTTTTGACCGAGTTCGAAGATGAAAGCGATAGCAATAATCGTGATTTTGATTTCTGTGAAATTTTTCCAAAATTTGGTATTTTTTGAAAATCAGAATTACGCAGGTATCTCTGGATATTGCGCTTCAAATGAATTCAATCATAGCTTAATATGGTTGTTTCAATGTGACTGTGACGAAGTTAAAAGATGGTTCCAATAACTGTCTCGGTTAATTTGATTTTGAGGAAAATTTTTGCAAATTTCGAACTTTTCATGAATTGCCCCGAAAGTTAACTTTCTGATGGTGCCTTTAAATGTGATGTTTCGAATACATCCAATTATGTATAAATGAAATATTCCTAATAATATTTCATCGAAATTTTCAGAAATTTTTAGAATTTCAGTAAGGCCCGGGTGTACTATCTTTTTAATATTATCTGGATTTTTTTAATCTTTCGTAATCCAAAATTGTCAATTGAGTGGTACATCATGTAGAAATTCCCAAAAATTATGATGGAATGATAAAAAAAATAGAAAAAATTCTGAACTTTTTCAAAGAGCGTTTTTAATTGAGATTCAGAATGAGTTGAAAAAAGTGGAAATCACAAATATCTGATTCGCTGTGGCAAATTATTTATTAGCTGTCATTTTCCATGGTGGATAACAAAACACTAACTCCTCGTGGGAAGTGACAGCTAGGTATCTCAATTTTCAAAACAGTGGTATGTAGTCATCTGCCATTTTTATGTGCTAAAAANGTGACAGCTAGGTATCTCAATTTTCAAAACAGTGGTATGTAGTCATCTGCCATTTTTATGTGATAAAAGTGTGATTAAAAAATTCTCCAAAATATTACAACTTTTTTCAAAGAGCCTTTTCCGTAATAAATGTCTCTGTGCAGTGTGGGAAAAGATTTACGAAATCAGTCTTCCCCCTGCATGATATTGGGTGACAGGCCGCCATTTGTCACCGTAAATCAGATACATTTTGCAATTTCTTGTTATTCAACTTATTCTGAATATAAATTAAAAATGCTCTTGGAAAAAATTAAGAATTTTTTCTTTTTTTTTATTATTCATTGATAATTTTTCAAAACTTCTGCATGATGCAGGACTTAATTGACAATTTCAGATGACGAACGATGAAAAAAAACATCGAGATAATGTTCGAAAGATAGTACACCCGGGACTTAAGTGGAAAATCTAAAACAATTAGTTGGAAAGAAATGAATTCAATTTAAGAAAATAAAATAGGCTATGAATAATTTACAATGGAATAAAATAAGTAAAATAACCATTTGGAACCATATTCCTAATTTATTAGCAAAAATAACTATACTATACGCAATACCGGAGCGATTTTCCACTTGTTTCAAATTTAATTGAAAAAATCGAACTCGAAATTTAGCGAAAATGAGAAAAAGCTGGAGGCGAAAAACCATGAAACGGCATTGAGGTAACAGACTGCGCATAAGTAACGCTCACTCATTATTAATCCACTGATTATGATCATTATTAACGATTATCATTATGTGCATCTCCATTACCTCTGGCTTCGTGCAAACATTTCAGTCGCAATCAAGGACTGCAGCTTGCAACTCTTGTTTAAAGTGTGATAGAACAGAGTCTCTATATAAAATTAAAAATTTATCATCATGGAAAAGGCACAAATGTTCGCTTTGATGCTGATGATGGTCGTCCTCTTCTTGGCAGCATTGACGCCAGGTAAAATCTTGACGATTTCATCATTTCGGAGGAACAATTTCGTTGAGAGCATGAGTAGCGCTTGGGATAGTTTCAAGTAGCTCTACCCTTACGGGAAATTCAAAGATTATTGAAAACTGCAAAAAAATTGCAGAAAACTTGATTAGAGTCGGAATTCTAATTGTTTTCTCAATTTAATTGTCGTTTTGGTTTTTCAAAGAAGAAATGTTTAAAAATCAGCATTTAAGGATAATCGGGCGAGGAGGAAATGTAGGAGGTGAGGCGGAGGGGTTTCTATTGTTTTACTGCAGAAAACCAATCGCTGAACAAAAAAATTTTTCCCATTCGGATTCAAAATTCAGGCAATATTAGGAAGTATCTCCGGTTAAAAATTATTTTTGGAGCTAATCAAATTTATTTGTATCTGTTCCAAGCATTGAATGGTTTTCAGATTGTTTTTTTTTTAATAAATGAAAAAATATTAATCCATGCGAAAAAGTGGCAACATCGTCGGTAGTGTTTTTCTTTTTCACCAGGAGCTGGTACCACTGGCTCGAGGGACCTCCAATCACAACGCTTCATCGCTCTCTCTCAAGAGACGTTTAAATTGACCCCACCCAATCGTGGGCACGCGCAGAAATTTCGTTTTTCAGTACTTTTTTCGCTATTATTAATAAACAATGCTCCTAGGCGACAATCTTTTTCACTCAAAAAATCATTGATCACATGTTCTAAATGTGTCTAAAGTTTCATGACTTTGGCTGTTTTTTTTCCTTGAGTTTTGCTTTTTTTTGTAATTTCCATAAGATCACAGGCTAAATGACCACTTTTTCAAAAATTCATAATACATTAACCATGTTCCCCAGCAGTCTGAAACTTTGCACACGTCTTTTCCATCATTTAAAGAATACGTAAAAAATAAAAGAGAATGGCTGCTTTTTTTCTAACCCTCCGGGCTCGCCCGATTATCCTTAACCCAGTGTCTTATGTGAAAATCAACATTTCCATTGTAATCAAAGATTAAAATCTGAATTTTTTTTCATTAGATGTGAAAAAATCAAGAATTTTTTTGACACCTCATAAAAAATAATCTACCGTTTTGCAAACAAGTTTTATTATTTATTTAAAAGAGGAAAATGTTTGAAAAAATATCAATATTTTGCGAAATTTAATTTAGATGATACTGACGGGGTATNTTTTTTTTTAATAAATGAAAAAATATTAATCCATGCGAAAAAGTGGCAACATCGTCGGTAGTGTTTTTCTTTTTCACCAGGAGCTGGTACCACTGGCTCGAGGGACCTCCAATCACAACGCTTCATCGCTCTCTCTCAAGAGACGTTTAAATTGACCCCACCCAATCGTGGGCACGCGCAGAAATTTCGTTTTTCAGTACTTTTTTCGCTATTATTAATAAACAATGCTCCTAGGCGACAATCTTTTTCACTCAAAAAATCATTGATCACATGTTCTAAATGTGTCTAAAGTTTCATGACTTTGGCTGTTTTTTTTCCTTGAGTTTTGCTTTTTTTTGTAATTTCCATAAGATCACAGGCTAAATGACCACTTTTTCAAAAATTCATAATACATTAACCATGTTCCCCAGCAGTCTGAAACTTTGCACACGTCTTTTCCATCATTTAAAGAATACGTAAAAAATAAAAGAGAATGGCTGCTTTTTTTCTAACCCTCCGGGCTCGCCCGATTATCCTTAACCCAGTGTCTTATGTGAAAATCAACATTTCCATTGTAATCAAAGATTAAAATCTGAATTTTTTTTCATTAGATGTGAAAAAATCAAGAATTTTTTTGACACCTCATAAAAAATAATCTACCGTTTTGCAAACAAGTTTTATTATTTATTTAAAAGAGGAAAATGTTTGAAAAAATATCAATATTTTGCGAAATTTAATTTAGATGATACTGACGGGGTATGAATTTTTTCAAATTTTTTCCATGCAATTTAGTTGAAAAATGTAAAAACTGAAAATATCCAAAAGTACAGCGTGGCCTGGCCGAAGGATAGAGCTATTTTAAAGGCATCCGTTCAGACACTCTTTCTTAACATTTACCTTTGTCTCTTAGATTTTTTCCATTCGAATTATTGGGCACAAGTTTTCCGCTGGATTTTGTTTTATTTTGCATTGCAGAATCCACGTGGAAAAAACTTAGAAAATTGATGCCCAAGCATTCTTATAGAATAAATCTCAAGGGAAAAATTCAAACAGAAATTCGAAATCTATTGAATTTTTCTTATCTAATATCCAATAGAATCAGCGCAAAAAGTGAATAGAAGTTTTCAATAGAATTCCAATAGAAATCCTATAGAAACCCAATAGAATTTTCTAGCGAATTTGCTAGGTTTTCTATTGAATTTTTTCATACGTGCTATATCACAAAACAATTCTTAGGTGGAGCTGACCACATCAAATACCTCAAAGAATGCAAACTACAAGTATAAATATGATATTTAAATAAGTTGTGTAAATATGTATCCTTTATATCCACAGTGTAAATAATTCGGCATAAGAGTTTCATCACTATAAATAACAAGCAAAAAAAGAGAAAAAATCTGACAGAAAAAAAAACGATTGATTTTTATTTTTCTCCAGAAGTTCTTGACCATAAATTTTTCAACTTATTTCCACTAATTGTAATTTTTTCTCATAGTAAATTCCAAGAAAAAAAATGAGAATTCATGGAGAAAAATCCCAGGAAAATCAGTCGCACAGAAAAATCAACATCTACTGATTTCATTCTGTAAAAAAATATCAACTGAAAAACTCACTGAATTGGCGGAAAATAAGTAGAATAGAATTGATATCAAGTTCAATTATTCATTTCAGCTGAAGGCCTAGCTCCGCCGATTCCCCCTCAGTGCATTCTGTGCCGAAGCGGATAGGAATGGATTGGATTTCGTCGCACGCATGGATTATAAAACGGAAAATAATGATATTCTATGAATTACGTGTTCTCTTCAGAATTCCTTTATGTAATGAAAAAAAGGTTGAATAAACAAAAGAATTGAAAAAATTATTCCTTGCAGATTCATTATTACTAACACTTGATGGATTGTTCTGACATCATTGTTATCATTATTAACAACAGTAGCTCCCACAGAGAAATCGGATGAATAAATTGAATGAGTAAATTTTCCTTGTAATTATCGAAAACGAGAAGCTTCAAGGGATCACGTGAATGCATATCTACGAATGGGCTGCTTGACTAGTATACATTTAATCTATTATTAAAGATGATTAATAACGTTGATGATAAAAATTTTCCTGGTCCTGGTTGCTTTCCTTTCTCTCATCGCATTCGCACACAACAAGTGCAGCTCACAACTAGTTTTATCTATCAGAGAGTCACTAAAATCTGCAATTAATCGTCATGGGAAAGTTCAAATTCGTCGCTTTGAGGCTGATGATGGTGATCCTGTTCTTGATTACTTTGTCTCCAGGTAAAATATTGACTTTACGAAAGAAGTTTTGCTCATACTACGGGTGATTTTTTTACTCTTTATGGCACGGATGCAAAAATTTCGCAATAAATTGTCGCTAGACAATTCTATTGGATTTTTACTGAACTTTCTATTAGTTTTTGGCCGATTCTATTGACGTGTTAAGTGGAAAATATTTTATAGAAAAAGTCAACAGAATTCAATCTTTCTATACAACTTATTCCGATGAGGTATTTTCAGTTATAATACCCCGAGACCTTCAAAATTATCGGAATAAGGGTAAAAATCCCGAGTGCGCACCACGAGGGATTTTTCTGCAAAACTTGACACTTTTGTTTGTTTGCAGGGAAGCTTGAGGGAAATATTGTGATTAATTTTGAAGATCGAGGGGTATTCGGAGGAGAATTTTTTGGAACTGGATTTTGGCCAAGCGGAGCGCAGTATTCGAGGGCTTCTTTCAGCAAAACATCCAATTGATTAGAAATAAATGAATAGCTACTATGCAATTATCAGTAGTAATATCACGAGACCTCAAAAATTATCGGATATTTCCCGATTGTTTTGTTGCGTAGCAACGAGAGGGAGAAGTTTTGCAGATTAAAATCCCGAGCGCGCAGTGCGAGGGATTTTTGTGCAACACTTCTCCCTCTCGTTGGGAAATGTCCGATTAATTTTGGAGGTCGAGTGGTATTCGACGGATTATTTTTGATAATCGGATCCTTCCCAAACCGACTCATTTTGACTTTCTTCATGACTTTCTTTCACTCCACAGGATAATATTTGACAGTTATTTGGTTAGAGAAACAATTGTAGAGCTAGAGGGAAATTCTCAAAAGCTAGGGGGAAATAACTTCTGTAATTTTAATTGGGAAGTACTTCATATTATTGAATACTGAACTCTGATTGGCCCAGGGAAGGCCAGATCCGATTACCAAAAATAATCAGCTATAATACCCCAAGACCTTCAAAATTATCGGATATTTGCCGAATGTTTTGTTGCATAGGAACGAGAGGGATCAGTTTTGCAGATTAAAATCCCGAGCGCACAGCGCGAGGACTCGTGATTGGGACTTGTCGTTAAGGACTTGTGATTTTGGATAAACATCCTTAATCTGAGATGAAGTTCACAAATGACTTTTGAAAAAATATCTGGGTGACAATTTTGCTCCTTTAATAATTATTCCACGCGAGAAAAAAAATCATAGAAAAACCTAGCGAATTCGGTATAAAATTCTACCAGTTTTTGGCTGATTCTATTGGATAATTCCGCAGTTTTACTGCGCGTTATTATAGAAAATATCCAATAGAAATTAGTTTATAAAAAAATCAGTAGAATTTCATCTTTCTATACTACTTTTTCTATTGAGACATTTTCTATAGCAATTCCTCGACATGAACGTTCCTTTTTTCCACTCATCAGAAATTAAAATAGTATATTATGTCATTAGGCGATAAGGGTATTATCTGGCGAATGTGATTATAATCCTCACCTTCGGCTCGGATTATAAAGCCTCATTCACCAGATAATGCTTTTATCGCCGTGTGATATACGCTATTTTATGTCGTTGGGCCCGATAAACCGCGATTCTAATGACATAAACACATTTACCGGCAATTTACCGACACTGGATAAACATCCGTAAATTTTCTATTTCAGTGGAAGGGCATCCTGCGACGCATCGTCCCCCCCAGCAGTGCATACTTTGCGGAGTATAAAAATGAAGTGGACTTCGTGCCGTGTGTATGGATTACCTCGCGATTATGAAATGGAAAGTGGCAGCTCAACGAATTACCTGTTTTTACGACGATTAGATTGTAGCAAAAAAAAATATACATTGTAAATAAATAAAAAATTAATGACAATAAAATATACATTTAAATAAATTAAAAAATATTTTGCAATGGCAATTGAAAATGATTTGACAAAAAAATACTTGAATTCCGTCAACAAAAGATCAATAGATTGCAGAAATTAAAAATTTATGACAATAAAATAAACAGTTCAATAAATTAAAAAATGTTTTGCAATGGCAATTGCCAATGATTTGATAACAAAATATTTGAATTTCGTCTGCAGTTATGAACTCGCTTGAAAAATTGAATTGGAAAAAAAATTGAACTCAAAATATCTTGATGATCAGACGCTCCAGGGAAGAGACTAGAAGTTGAAAAAAAGAAGGGGCCTGCACATTAACGCGAGCCATGCGTTTCAAGTGTATTTCTAACGATGATTATGTCATGTTTCTTGATCTATCGCTGTTTCTTGATCATTTTCTCAGGCATACATTGCAGTCGTAAACAAGCATTGTTACTCACAGCAGTAAAAGTAACAAACAACAACCATGGGCAAACTCCTGGTTTGCTTTTTCATTCTGACAGTGGTCCTCTTTTTGGCAGTTTTGTCTTCAGGTATTGTTGCAATTGTTTATCGCTGAATATATGAACAATTAATTTACGATAAATCGTTGATCAGCTATTTGAATTTTTTCTTCAGTCATGTTCGACTCATCGGGCTTTTATATTTATTGATTAACTTATTAATTGTTTAATCAAACACATAATTAAACAAGATCTATGCGCACGCGCTGATCTATTCATTCGTTGAAATGAAGAAATGGAATTCATTGAATTTCATTTTCTCATGAATACCTTATAAATATTGATAATGAATCAAAGAGAATTCGACTAATGATTGAAGTGAATAGCGAAGTAGAGTAAAAGAATCTATAAAGAATTTTTCATTTTCAATTAATTATCTTCAATTTTTTAAAATAATCGGTCTCCATAAAAGGACAGAATTTATTAATTTCACCGATGATATATATATACATGTGAAATATATATATTATATATATATATGATGTGAAAAAAAATTTACCACTGAAGAATTTGAAATTATGTCACTGAAGAATTTGAAAATGCCGCGTGTTTTTTTTGTGAATAACTTCATGTCACCTATTGACCAATCAGAATTGAGGATTTGCGGTCAGGCAGTTTCGAGATATTTCGATATAAAACAACTTCACGTTTCTTTCATCTTTAGTAATATAGGATTCAGTAGCGAACTGGTAAAACTGTACAAGTCAATTTTGACTATTGACCAGTTATCAATGAATATCTCAGAATCTAAGGGAGATAGCTAAATTTTTGTTATGACCTTTTTTGTAGGGCCGATTGAAAGCTACACCAAACGTAATTACGAAAATTTTGCCATCTCCCTTAGATTCGGAAATATTTCTCAAAAACTTTGCTACTGAATAGAATTTTTAATTATTCAAAAAAAATGTGATTTGAATCATTTGATTTAATTTACAATTTTTTTCCTTTAGTGGATGGACTCCCTATGCCGGAACCACAGCAAAGTGGGCAGAATAGTGGAAATCGTAAGACAACTCCACCTCCAGGTAATTTTACAACTGATAATTTAATAATTAAAGTAATTAATAATGATGAGAATGATTTAATCAAATTAAAACTACTTGTTTTTTATTCATTTGAATTATTTATTCATTTTTTCGCGTCATTGATTGAATGGCATTTTATTCAAATCAATTTGCCAATTAAAAAAAATGACATTCAGATATTTTTAAATCGAATTTTCTCTTCCAGGTGGTGGGGGCAGCGGGGGAGGAGGAGGTGGAGGAGGTGGAGGTGGAGGAGGTGGAGGTGGTGGCGGTGGGTGCATTCTCTGTCGGTGATACGAAAAACAGAATTCTTTCTGAACATAAATCCCACTGCGGCTCAATGACAACTTGGCAATGACAACATTTATTTAATCAATACCGGACATGATTAAGTTATCTTATTGTTCTGTTATTGTTATTATGGTGATAGGGTCAATAGGTGAATAAAAAGAAAATCGTGAAAATTTATCAGTTTGCGCTATGATTATTTAGTCATAACAATCGATGAAGGTTGTTAACAAATCACAAAGTGGTTAATGAATGACGGAACATCTATAGATATGAAAATTTGCAGCAATTCAAGTTGCGCTGTTATAAGGCGGAAATTGGCAATTCTATTGGGAATCCTTGACGTGATTGAGCTATATAGTCTTAATTCCTGATATCATTATGGCTGCGAAAGTGATGGGATGCATAAAATGTTGATGGAAATTTCACAATAAATGAAATATAATTTTATTAGAAATTTTTCGAATTAGTAAACGATCTTATCTTTTCACTGAAAATTTCACATGATTATTTTTCCCGCTCGGATTTTGACCAATCAGAGCGCAGCATTTGAGGCTACCCGACAGTTTTACTTCGAATATTTCCTCCTAGCTTTCGAATATTTCGCAGTAGTTCTTCATTTTTTTAATCTGAATATTTCGCAGTAGCTCTTCATTTTTTCGGCTCATTTCAGATAGAATCTTATAGTTGACAGTCTATGAAAATCGGATTATTCTATTAAGGATAATCGGGCGAGGAGGAAATGTAGGAGGTGAGGCGGAGGGGTTTCTATTGTTTTCCTGCAGAAAACCAATCGCTGAACAAAAAAATTTTTCCCATTCGGATTCAAAATTCAGGCAATATTAGGGAGTATCTCCGGTTAAAAATTATTTTTGGAGCTAATCAAATTTATTTGTATCTGTTCCACGCATTGAATGGTCTTCAGATTGTTTTTCTTTTAATAAATGAAAAAATAATCCATGCGAAAAAGTGGCAACATCGTCGGTAGTGTTTTTTTTCATCAGGAGCTGGTACCACTGGTTCGAGGGAGCTCCAGTCACAACGCTTCATCGCTCTCTCTCAAGAGACATTTAAATTGACCGCGCTACCCCCACCCGATCGGTACTTGGGACGTTGCTACTCGTTTGGGCTGTGTGCGCAGAAATTTCATTTTTTAGTACTTTTTTTCGCTATTATTAACAAACAATGCTCCTAGGCGACAATCTTTTTCACTCAAAAAATCATTGATCACATGTTCTAAATGTGTCTGAAGTTTCATGACTTTGGCTGCTTTTTTTCCTTGGGTTTTGCAGTTTTTTTTGTGATTTCCATAAGATTACGGGTTAAATGACCACTTTTTCAAAAATTCATAATAAATTAACCATGTTCCCCAGCAGTCTGAAACTTTGCACACGCCTTTTGCATCATTTAAAGAATACGTAAAAAATAAAAGAGAAAAATGCCTGCTTTTTTTCTAACCCTCCGGGCTCGCCCGATTATCCTTAACATAATTTGTTCAAATCTTCCCCAATTCACCTCCTGATGTTGTCCACTGCACTCTGTTTGGCCAAAAACCAATTGGGAAAAATAATCCGACAAATAATCTCGAGATTCAAAATTAATCAGGTATTTCCCTCAAGCTCCTCTGCAAACAAACCATCGTGCCAAGTTTTGCAGGAAAAATTTTTTTAACCTGCGAAACTTGACACCCTCATTGATTTGTGCAACGAACCTATCAGGACCTACCCAATAATTTTGAAGCTCTTGGGGTATTACTACTGAATATTTGAGCAATTTAAAATTTTCTGAGATTGAAAAATTTTGGAATTTGAAATTTTATATTTTCAATTTTATATTTTCAATTTGTTTAATTTTTTCAGTTTAAAGTTTTTTTTCCAAGTTTAAAATGTCCATTTAATCGCTATTATAGAACAAAAAACTCGCAATTCCACAAGGAATCGTTGACATAATTGAGCTACAGTCTTAATTCCTGATATTATTATAACTGTGAAAGTGATGGAATGAAAAAAATCCAGATGTAAATTTCCCAATAAATGGAATACAATTCTGTTCATAATTTTTTCAAATTAGTAACCGATCGTATCTATTTACTGCCCAAGAGCTCACAGCAAGTCGTTATGATTTCCGGATTTCGTTTTCCATGCCCTATCTCAACATTTTAACATAAAAATCAACTTTCGATGAATTATTATCCCGTAACGATGATTATCACACACTTCTTTATTCAATACCTTCTCGACATGCAGACGTTACTGTCGTATATAACGATCGTATTTTCAAAGTCCTGTCTCCAGTTATTTCACAGAGAATCGCTGAAACTGTCAGTCATAATGGAAAAAGTCCAGATTTACGCTTTCATGGTGACAGTCGTGATCTTATTTTTGACTGCTCTGACAACAGGTAAATCGATGATGAAAACAATTTATTGAATGAATAAATGGAAAATTTTTCCGAAAAATTCAAGTGCAGTTAAGTTAAGGATAATCGGGCGAGCCCGAAGGGTTAGAAAAAAGCAGCCATTTTTCTCTTTTATTTTTTACGTATTCTTTAAATGATGGAAAAGGCGTGTGCAAAGTTTCAGACTGCTGAGAAGCATGGTTAATTTATTATGAATTTTTAAAAAAAGTGCTCATTTAACCCGTAATCTTATGGAAATCACAAAAAAAACTGCAAAACCCAAGAAAAAAATGCGGCCAAAGTCATGAAGCTTTAGATATATTTAGAACATGTGATCAATGATTTTTTGAGTGAAAAAGATTGTCGTCTAGGAGCATTGTTTATTAATAATAGCGAAAAAAGTACTGAAAAATGAAATTTCTGCGCACGCAGCCCAAACGAGCA